TCCATTCTAGTCATGCTCATTCTGTGTTACATTTAAAGGTATTGGAAACAATCTATGTCAAGTCCAGGCAGCCTTCCCTCTGTAAACAGAGGGAATGTCTGTTAGGGATTCACATTATTTTCATATGATCTTTCTACCTTTATTTCATCACATGCTTCTCATGTTTTCTATTTTATATTGTAATATTTAATCTTTTCTCGATTTCAGCTCTCTTACTGTTTTTATTTCCATAATATATACATATATATATATATATGTGTGTGTATGTGTGTGTGTGTGTATGTATATATGTTTGTATGTATTTTTAGGGGTGGATTTTTCATTTATTAATCCGACATATTTTAATTTATTTCTTGAATATTTTTTTAATGGATGCCCATATTTCAGTAGATGCTCTGTTTTTATTTATTTATTTATTCATTTTCTAACAACATTTCTGGGGTAATCATGCCCATAAATGGAAATAGATATAATGTTTAATAAATAAATAAAACCAAAGCATCTACTCAGATATGAATATCCATTAAAAATAACATTTAAGCAATAAATTAATATATATATATATATATTATATACAATACACACATTCTTACATACATACGCACATGCATCCACACATACACCTATATATATATATATATATATATATATATAGTATTATATGAGCCTGCTTACAGGGAACCCCATCTGACTGGGCTTGATATGGCACTTAACTTCAGTGATTGACCAAGAACCAGTGTTTTCAGGATGATCTGACTGGAGGTTGTGATGAGTATGACCAGAGTGGTTTTCTGATACTCCTTGCCTGTTAAGTTATTCCCAGTGTAGTAATGATTGTAATTTTTCAAGATTCTACCAATAGGACTCCAATAACAATAGTCTGCAAGGATGGCTAGTAAATCCCTTTTACAGACAACCACACAAGCCACAGTATCCCTCTGCATTTTATATTGTAACTATTCTGAATGGACCTTAGGTACAATTTTGGGGGGAAGTGTATAATCTAGTACGATCAATTTTTTTGAACAAGGCCAACACACTCAACCCTCGGTCACGATGACTTTTGACTTTGTGCTAGATCAACTGTTGATGGTTCTGTCTACCCAATTTCACTCACCAGGTTTGAGTTAATCTGTGGTATAGTTCTCTGGCATTTTTCAAAGGTGGCTCTCTATAGGTCCCTTGGATCACCTCCCCAGGTGAATATTAATCAAGAAGTTATATCCCAGACAAATCAACAATGGAGAGTTTTGAACCTGAGTCTAATGGCCAAACAGTGAACATTTCCACTACTCAACCACGTACTCATATATATATATATATATATATATATATATATATATATATGTACAAAGGGAGGTATGCAAATGAATATATATTCAAATAGGAATTCATATGTAATACATATGTCTATAAACTAAGATGTAATATAATCTAAATTTATTTTCTAACTGAATTTAACTGCAATCTGTAAATATTCATTTTATTTAAGTGAAAAAGTATAAAATATTTCTGAAGAATATTTTCCATTGCTGTAAATATGTATATGAATGCATGATATTTTAAAATATTTTACACTTTAAAAAGTATTTCAATTTTTTTAAATTAACATATTTTATAGCATAAAAGAAAAAAACAAAAAACAGTGTAACAGTTTCAAATAACATGAAAAATTTTTAAAAATGGGAAAAAACAAAAGCATGTATACATTTTTACATGCAGTTAAGACATCCAAATTCTAAATTAATTTTTACAATATGAAAAATTTCAATAAAGCTAATGTAACATTTACAAAATGTTAGAACTGGCATCAGAAAAACATATCAATAAATTTTTCTTGCTTCCAATAAATTTTTCGTTTAATAATCCATTCAGGTACATCTGAAGAATTCATAATGCTTTTGTGATAATAGCATTTAAATGTAGCAATAAATTCAAGTGGAGAAATAATAACGCCATTATATCAGCAAGTTATCCATTGGGATATGACTGTATATTTCACAAACATAATTTCGTGCTCACAGAAGATGTCAATTATCTCGATACAACAATTTTCACGAATATCAAATAACATCAAAGGCAAATTGCAATAATTTCAGTTTTTATTATCGACTCGTAATCATCTTGTTTTCATTTCTGTCCTACAACTGGTAACTTTTTGAAGTTAGGAACACAGAAATGAAAAAGAAAACAATCTCCTAACATCAGCCCATTAATGTAGATTCCAAGTCAGGTGAGTACACAAGTCTACACCATATGAAGCATATGGTACTGTATGTTCTCTAAAAAATAGTATTGAAACTTGACAAACTAAACAGTTCAACAATCTACAAAGTGGCACAGTTTTTTTTTTTTCCAGGCCTGGTGCAGCTTACAAGCCTATGACACTGTTTTCCTATATAGGTCAGCTAGGTTTCTTTGAAATCACTGTGTACCAATTTGACCTTTCACTATTTGGTTAGAAGTTGCTGGTTTACCTTTTATTTATTTTCAAATTGACAACACGCTGCAAAGGCTTAGCAGTTTTGGAAAACTAAATGGAAGCATTTGATTGGTTAATAATTCTTTCTGAACAAAAACAGGGTCTCTTCTCTCCAATGTCGACAAAAATCAAACTGGCACAAGTAAAGCTAATTTTCTTTTTTAGAAACCAAGCACAAATAACAGGTCTGTTTTTTTTTAAACTCTTTGATTGGTTGCAAATTATATGTATAGAGACATGCATGCATAGATTATAATTATTTTTCTTTCTTCAAAAAGTAGTATAAACTGCAGACATTGCAACCCTGCAGTTGTTTTTTTTTTATCATTTCATCCCAAGCAAGGTGATAATGCCACTAAGATACAAGGAGTTACTGGGAGTGAAAGAGAATGAGAAGACTTTATTGAGGCAAAAGGACAATAAAAGAACAAGCTTCAGGAAGACAGAAGATGGCGATAATACCACTAAGGTGCAAGGGGTTACTGGGAGTGAAAGAGAATGAGAAGAATTTAGTGAGAAGAAAGGACAATAAAAGAACAGGCTACAAGAAGACAGAAGATGGCAATAATACCACTAAGACACAAGGGGCTTCTGGGAGTGAAAGAGAATGAGAAGACTTTAGTAAATAGAAAGGACAATGAAAGAATAGGATTCAGAAAGACAGAAGTTGGCAATTGACATTGGATTTAAATTTTTGAAGATTGTTGGTGGCAGGGAAGCAAGGAACAAGATGGGAGTTCCACAAGTCAGAAGTCAGCTAAAATGATGAGACTTAGTAGCCAATCTAGTCATATGCTTAAATTAATATGGTCAAGGTACCAAGAAGGAGAGCTCATTAGAACAACTACCATTAAAGAAAAGACAAAGAGAAGCCATGTGACAGCAGTGGGAAAGGGACTGAAGTCAAGATACCAGGTCAAGATTGAATATATTACAGACCCTTCTTTAGATTTTGTCAAGAATCTCGAGATATCTAGTAGGAGCACCAGACGAGATGTGGCAGTAATATTCAATGCACAGAAGAATGGTATATTTATAAATGTGCAAGAAGGATTGTAAACAAGAAGAATTGTCTGGTGTAACACAGTAAACCAACATTCTTAGTAGCACGTATAGCAAATGATTCAATGTCATTTCTCCACTTCATGTCAGTAGAAAACGTGAGACCAAGAAGGCACAATGAATTGCTTTCCTGGAGGTTAGCATCAGCCATGCTGATAGAGACCAGAAATGGGAGACTATGATAGTTAAAGGATAGAAGATTGATTTTGAAGCTGATAAAATTAACAAGTCCGTTCTTGCCCCAGTTAACAATTGTTTGGGGGTAATTTTCAAGAGCAGCTGCTGGTTTTACTTTGTTGGACCTATTGAGATTATTATTAAGATAGGAGATGTCATCAGCATAAATACCCAGTTGTGAACTGATAAGATCAAGAAAGTCATTGATGAAGTTAAAAAAAACAGTGTAGATACAAAGATAGAGTCCTAGGGTACCGTTGCATTCATGTGAAATAATCTAGAAGTATGACCATGCAACATGACTTTCCTTACACAATTTGTTAACAACAATTGGATTATGTCAAATATCCATCCAGAGATGCCATAGCCCTTGAGCTTGTGGAGGAGGCCAGCATGCCAAACCTTGTCAAAGGCCTTTGAGATATCTAAAGCCACAGCCCAAGCCTATTCATTCTTGTCTAAAGGCTGATATACAAATTCCGTGATAACAGTTAACACATCAGTGGTTGACCTAGAGAGACAAAAGTCGGATTTTTTATCTGAAAGAAGGCTTTGTGAATCAAGATGTTTAACCAATCCAGAGTTGATTAGTATTTTTCCAAATTGAGGTAAATGCCTAATAGGATGATAATTCAAAGGATCAGAAGGTTCACCATTAATATGGTCAAGGTACCAAGGAGGAGAGCTCATTAGAACAACTACCATTAAAGAAAAGACAAAGGGAAGCCATGTGACAGCAGTGGGAAAGTGACTGAAGTCAAGATTGAATATATTACAGACCCTTCTTTAAATTTTGTCAAGAATCTCAAGATATCTAGTAGGAGCACCAGACGAGATGTGGCAGTAATATTCAAGGCACAGAAGATTTAATTTTTTAAAGACAGGAATTATAGAAGAGACTATCCAATAAGATATTGTAGAGTTTATAGAGAACAGGAGCCATTTCAGGAACACATTTCCTTAGGATTATTACAAGGATAATAAAGCTCATAGTTTTATACACTAATTAAAATATTTTTTTTTTTTTTTATAAGCATGCAGTTTGACATAGTGGATGAGACAGAGCAGTTCTTAAAAGGCTAATAGCCTAAAAATGTTTTTTTTTTCATTTTTAATGACATGCTTGATAAAGCAAAAGTTGAAACTTCAGATGAAAGCTTAAACATCAAAGAAAATTTTCAATTGAAATTTTCATTTTTTTTTTTAATAAATATTATCATTATTTTTAGCTTAATACCTATAAAAGTAAGTAAAGAAAAAAAAGAAAAGAACAACTTACATATTTCTCTTTGATCTTCTGCCTGATTTTGTTGTATCTGCTGGATGGAATACGGCTTGTGAGGTCACTATGGTCTCC